CAGTGAGGACTAGAAACATGCCTCACCATGATTGCCCAAGACATCATGACCTGTGTGCTATGGGGCGTGGAACTGAGGTAACTAGCTGGGAGAATGTGGAAGAGCGGACTGCTAGAAGAAGATTGCAGGCACCTGTGCTGCCTTCTTCCCCTCCCATCTGAGCCTTTCCCCCAGCATCTGCATGGCGGAGTCGCCAATAAAGCAGCAGCCTTGACACAGGTGTGGGAAGAGAAGGGAGGAGATGTGGGTTTGGGAGGTTCTGCAGCCTCCAGCAAACAGATGTTCAGCAGCCAAAAGAAAGAGGGTGTTTTTCCTCCAGAGGGAGTGGATGGTTCAAAGAAGAGAAAAAAGAAGTATAGAGGCGCAGCAAGCATAGTGTGGAAAGGGGCAAATGCTGGCCATTAACAGAGAAGAAAAAAGTCGAAGAAATCCCAGAGAAAGAGAAATTAAGACAGAAGAGGTTTTGTCAGAAGGAAACATTGCTATACGATAGTAATACTATAGAGTGTAGTCTATTAATAGTAATAGTAATACAGGTAGTCCTTGCTTAATGACAGTTTAGCATCTGTTCGAAGTTACGACAGTGCTAAAAAAAGTGATTTACAACCGGTGCCTGAAGTTACAACCATCACAGCACTCCTGTAATCATGTGATCATGATCTGGGCACTTGGCAATCAGCTTGCACTCATGATGCTTGCAGCATCCCAAGGTTATGTGATTTCCATTTGTGACCTTCCCAGCCAGCTTCCAGCAAGCAAAATCAATGGGGAACTGTGTGAGTCACTTAATGACCATGTGATCCACTTAACAACCATGTGATTCACTTAACGACTGCTGCAAAAAAGGTCATAAAATCAGGTCCAGTCATGTGATGATTCACTTAATGACCACATTGCTTAGCGACCTAAATTCCAGTCCCAATTGTGGTTGTTAAGCAAGGACTACCTGTAGTACAGAGTATAGTATAGAGTAAAAATTGTAATAGTAATTAGTAATTGAATAGTAATAGTATAGAGCATAGTAATTGTCATAGTAATAGTAATTATCATAGTATAGAAGTAATAGCAATATAACAGGATATAGGATAGAGGTAATAGGAAGCACTTGCATATAGATTTGTAAGTTTCACATATCACTTTTATAACTTTGTTTTGCAAAATAAACTCTCTTCCCAACCCTTATTAGGGAGATATGAAGAAACTACCTGGTCCAGGGTCCAGTCCTTTTGGGCCTCTCTTGAGTCTTGGTCAGTCTGATTGGGTATGGTTTAAAAAAGAACCCCATGACAGAGAGCAGCTGTGTTTGACAGCCAGGCTGTGTGAACATGGCATTACAATTTGTCACTTTAGCTGTTGAGGCCTTTTAGATAGTTATTTTGCTTGATTTTATGCAATAATTTTGGATTCCCTCTCTCTGGATTCTGGTAATTAACTCCTGTCAGAAATTTTTATTTATGGTCTTCCCAACTCTTTTACTGTTCTAATTTAGCTAGATCCATTCCTCTTATAACATGGCAGGTTCTCCCTACGTCACTGTGCTTTGGCACAATGGCTAAACTTGATTAGTTTTAACCTTAGTTCATTATTTTGTTGTTTAGCGTACAGGGTGAACCCAACTCATTTGGTTTGTATGTGATTCAGTGTAGTTGTGAACCCAGAAAATGAATGATCAGTAACCATGTTTTGAGAACACAGTTCCCCTGTCAAACTCTGATTCTATTGCCTTGTCAGCCCCTAACTCTGTTTAGCACTCTGACACACTAAAATTGTGTAAGACACACTGAACTACAAATGGGTCAGCCACATCTGAGCCTAGTGTGTATTCCAAACCCATTTTGTGTGGCCTGTTATCGTTCAGTATTTCATGTGAACCCAGGTTAAATGAGTTAAATAAGTAAATTATGCTTTGTTAATCATGGGTGTTTTATGCATGCAACTCTCGCCTTTCATGATTTATTTCCTCACCATTCCACACACAATTTCCCCTCCCAAGTTGCCATTTAGCAGGGGCAATGATATCATATTTACTTCCTTGTGCTCTTTCAGTTAAAATAAATGACTGAAATATAAATTACAGGTGCCAAAACTTTTACAATAGTTTATGTAAAAACGAGAAGCATTCCAGCAAGTGTTTGAAGAGCTAGAAGTCACTTCATTCAACATGGAGGCCACCCTTTGTCATTTGTACTGCAGAGAAGCATGCCAGCCAGTGTATTCTTTGTCTTGTCAGTGTGGAATTGTGGATGAAGGGTTGAAGTTAACATTTGGGAGCTGTGGGTTCAATTTCTTTTTATCCACAAGTTTACTGGGTGACTTTGAGTCAATCACTCCCAGCATAACTCACAGGGCAGGACTGTTGTGATAATAAAAAAAAGTGGGATTATATTTCACTGAAGTAAGGCTGCCCTGGTACTAACAATCCACTCGTATTTCAAAATAATTGCCACTTCCATCTAAATCCATAAAAACATCCTTTGTGGTTCACAACAGGCTTGGTGTCTAAGGACCCACCTTGAAATGAGTTAGTTGTTGTTGGAAAATGGGTGTCTGCAGGTTGGGCAAATGATGCAGCGTGCATGACATCATCACACGTATACCATGACTTTTGTACTTGTAACAGACCTCACGATGTCATTACATAAGTGTGTCAGTTGCATGATGACATCACTACGCAAATCAATATTTTTGGTGTCATTGTGGAATACTGCAGATGCCACTGGCTGAAAAATATTTGTATCCCTGCCTCCTTGAAGCTGTGAATAATCAAATCATTTGCAAAACATCAAAGCCCAGTAAATAGTCAGCAGCCTTAAACTCAGCAAGCTAAAATTAGAATACACTTGCTCAAGTTCAACTCCTGAGGGATGTTAGAAATCGTTATGTGAGAGTCTGCAATTGTATAAAGTTTGTACTTGTCTAGTCTGCATAGTTTTATTCTAATCTTAGCTCATTGAGTTGGAGTCTGTTGTCCTTTATGTTTTGACTGTTTTATTTGTTTGAAGCTGCTCTTCAAGCAAGAATGATTGAATGCACATCAGACACTAAGGAACCTATGTCAACCTTACCCAATTCAGTGCTCTCCAGATATCCCATAATATCCATCTCAAAGGTCAAGCTGGGTACGAATTATGGAGATTGAAGTTTAAAATTATCTGGGTGGCATACCCTGTCGGTGGAGGCTGACCATCTAGCTTAGGCAACCAATAGATTCCAAATATTTTGAAATACAACTCCCCAAGTCTCCCATCATTCCCTGGATTGGCTGGAGCTGATGAAAACTTCTGGAAGGCACAAGCTTGCTTCCCCCACAGTGGCCCTTTGCAACAGAATTAGGAACCTTTTTATGCAACACCAGAGCAAAGTCAGGGAACATCATCCAATAATTCCAGGAGTCCCATAGATTTTAAAAGCTTTGTTTTAGTAATGTAAGTATCTTCTTTTTAGTTATGTTTTAATTTATGGTTTTATGTGTTTATATATTTATGTTCTAATGTTTATCGTGAATCGCCCAGAGTTCCCCCATTGGGGGGAGATGGGCAGCTGAAAAATTTAATAAATAAATAAAAATAATTAAATAAATAAAATCTCACTCATTCACTCGCTCAGTCACTCAAATCTTACATACCAAAATAGGCTTTTTGTCACTGGCCAAGCAACAAAAGAGGGTAGCAAGTCTCTGGAGAGTGTCCTCTGAGATGAACGTTGATGGAGGAGGAGATGTGACTTTGAAGCTCTCTTCCCTCTCGTGTTCTTTTATAAGCTTGACTGCTGGGCCACCTCAACATCACAGATCATGTCATCAACGCTGGTGGCTTTCCATCAGATCAAATTGTTCTTTTCCATGACCATGGGATTACAAGACTTATCAGGGAAATATTTACCCAAATTCTCTGCCTCTTTATACTTTGCTTTGGAACATCTTGCACCTTGACATAGCCTCGCACGTGCCTTTTTTTCCGGGTTCCATCTCTAGCGCAACTTATTAACCCTTTGTTGTCTGGCCATTAACTCATTTTATAACAGGCTAAAATTATTCAGTCCAATCTATCTCTATGGACTATCCAGGAACTCTGTATGTTTACTGGAACTTTTGCAAACCGAAGCCTCCATCTTTTCTGGTGCTTTTCACAGCTCACTAACATGCAGAAGTTCAAGTGGTGAAGTTTTATCTCAGTTGGAGGGGAAGCAGGAGGACCAACATCATGTAGAGTTTTGCCCAACTGTCCAAGACTCAAAAGTTTGGGCAGGAAGAAAAAAGATACCAGCCATGTTCTTGCCATTCTTCCATTCCATAGTGAAGTTTGTTTGGTTTGAGCTTAGCAATAGGATGCGTAAACCCAGCCAGTTGTTCTTTAATCATAAGAAAGTGCTTAAAACAAACGTTAGCATAGCATATTATGTGGACTCAGCCTTATGACTGTGTTCACACCTTGTGCCAAACCACCAGTTATTAATATGTAGATGAATAAGCCACAACTGGCTGGGTTCACACTAAGTCAAAAACAAACCCCCTGTTGGCTTAGCTGCATATGGGGCCCTTGTCTGTGGCTCTCTTTGTTAACCATGGCTAAACTTGTTATGCAATCATGGTTATGGTATCAACCCAATTTTGGGTGGTCTTATGACAGGCTATGGTGAAAGATAGTTAGCTAATTCATGGGTCAACATGTCTGCAAATCCATCCTGGGTGTGTGTGGAAAAAAGGGACACAGAGTTTATGTCTCCAGGAGAAGGAGCTCTGCCCTGCTCAAAGACACTTCACGACAGTGGCCTCTTCCTTCAGCCAGACGAAATGGATGAACCATATCCAATTAAAACCCGATCGCTTGTGTTTTGCTTCCGTGGAATAACAAAAAAAAACCTGAGAAGAAAGCTTTTCCCGCAATCTGGGGCTTGGTGGGGCCCAGCGCATCCTATCTGGGAAGTGTTGCCCCTTTAAAGCCCCTAGAGGCGACGTCAAGAAGTGATCGGAGCCGGTTCCGAGTCAAGCCAAGCCGAAGCTGTGCTCCCAAGCCGCGAATCTCCAAGATCGGGAAGAAGGGGGACTTTGTATTCCCACCCAGCCTCAGGCACGAATCGCTGCCGTAAACAGGTGAGTGGCGGCTGCCGGCTTTCTTTCTTTCTCCGCTTCCATTCCCGCTCTTCTCTTTTCTCCCCTCCCGACTTTGTCTTTAATAATGGGGATATGGGACGGAGCAGTAGACCACCGTGCGTCTTCCCACGGTTTCAGGGTCGCCTCCTTTTCCACCCTTCCCACCCGGACCCCTTTCGCTCCCCTCGCCTGGAACCTTCCCCCGCTCCGGCTCCGGCTCTTTCTTCGCATTCTGTCCCTTGCCCCTAACCCCAGAGGGAATCTCTCTTCTCTCGGTGACGCTTCCCTCCCTCCACCGCAACCCATCTTCCTCCCATCCCTTCTTCTCCCAAGTCAGATCGTTCTAAAACCACGCGGATCCCTTCCGATCTCTCTTTTTATTAATGGGCGGATTTGCCACATTATTACCTCTTTCCTCTCCGTCTCTCGTTTAGCTCCCTACGCGTCGAGTAGCGTTGCGCGTGTGAGCTCTTGAAGGCTTCTGTTGTTTCATTTGAGGTTGTTCGCGGATTTAAGCGTAGTACAGGTTGGAAGATACGAGACATATATCTCGAAATGATAAATATAGTAATTCCTCCATTTCTTCGTTGGAAAAAGAGGGGTGGAGGTATGTGTTATCCACAACAGAGAATGTCTGGGTTCGTGTGACATATTTAACCATGGTTAATTTAACCACGATTAATATAAGCCAGTTTTCTGGGCTTTCATGACACACTGAATTACAAACAAACTGGATTGGGTGATCAGCATTCTGAAGCCAAAATATAGATAGCTAGTGTATGGCTTAATGCATTGTGCAAAATGGCAATCATTGTCCCACTGCATGGGTTCAGTTGTAGCACAATCCAGGATGTGGGTCTACTTTGAATTAACTCTCAGTGGGAATTGCTTTCAGAGAAATAGGTGTAATGCTTTGCAGCTTCTGTTTCTGATAATTTTATTATTATTCCTTTCAAACCCAGTTGGAAGAGGTTCTCTAAGTGGAGCATGAATGAATGTTTTCTATTTCCCCTGAGGTTCTGCACAAAAGTATTTATTTTTCCCCTGAAATAAGCACATTTTGTTTCTGACCATAATATGCCTTTGAACCACAAATCTTCATCGGTCCCTAGGTATTTTAAGGGCGGTCCCTTTCTTTAAATTGCTTTCCCTTATTCCATCATAGTGTGATGATGGACAAAATGGATGGCACATCTCCTCACATTATCCAACTCCCTAGGTCTCTGTTCTATTCTAGAATATGGCAACTCTATTATACCAGTTTCCAGAAGGCAACTGTACAGTATTAGCGTTTTCCAGTAAATTAACACAAAGTAGGTGGTCTGCATTTCTAAATTTGAAATATATTACTGTGCTTCCTTTACCTGTTTGGATAGCTAGGATACCAAATATAGCATCCCACTCCCCTCCCAATTCTTGAGAATTCAAAGATTCAGGATCCAGTTTAGACTTAATGAGAAAAAGAGATTACATTCTCTGTTTCCTCTTTTCTCTCACTGTGTATAGCTAGGAACGTAAACGATGCTGTTTCCTAAAAGAAACATGATGCACTTGTGAAACAGTGCCTAAACATTGGGAATGTGCTCTTTTGCTTTATCCCTTGTATGGCTGACTCTCTCTCCTTACAACAACCTTTTGAGGTAGGCTGGACTGAGAAAGTGGAACTGTCTTGAAGTCACCTAGTTAGATTCATGGCCGAGCAGGCATTTGAACCATGGGCTTCACTCCACGCAAACACTCAGTAGTAACCAAACGACTAGTCTCCATGTGTTTTGGATTGCCCTCCCCTGATTCCTGGTCACGGACCATGCTGATTTTGGGGATTTACATCTGGAATGTTCAAGGTTATCTAGCTTTACTTTGAAACTGTGCTATACTGGTTGTTACTGGCTAATGATCAGTCACACTTTGTGCTAAGCTGTGGTCTATTTTGCCCATGTTTTAATTCACTTTTAGATATAGATGCCCTAGCCAGCCAGCCTACCTGCCTTTCTTCCTTTCTTAAATTTATATGGCTGCCCATCTCACAAAAAATGTCTCTGGGCAGCGTCGTTTTTTATATATTTATTGTTTTTAATTATTAAATACAAAAAAGCCCAAGGCACAAGAGAAGATATATGTTAACCACAGTTACAACCTTGACATAGTCCATTTTGTTAACTTTAGTTTCTGGATATAACAATTGTATAAAGAACCAACTTTTTACAGGTATTGTGTATTATTTACTTTGACTATTATTCAGCCGGTTCTTCTGTGCCATGGACCATCCTGCACGTTCCACCACTAAATATATATTCCAAAATTATGCCCTGATGGCAAAAACATGAAAGTTGCACAGCCTCTATTGTCAGAAAGAAGTGGATCACATTAACTTTGCAGATTCTTTTTAAATTCATTTGGCATGATAAGGAAAAAACGGGCTCACAAGCATGTGTAAAGTGTCTTCTGTTTGCTGCTGGGCAAAAAAAAAAAAAAAAAAAATCCCCAATGTAAATACTCATTATTAAGGCTTAATTCATAACAGTTTATCTGTCTCTGTGCATCATCCATGTATCTACATTTTGTGAGTGTGAGAGATAGTAGAAAGTGTTTTATCATGTAAAATGTAAACTTTTAAATTATCTCCACTCACCTCTGGTCTCAGATTTTTAGTTGTGGACATTGTTCTTGACAATGTGTTTGTGTGGAGGTGGGGGGAGAGAAAATGCAGTGGCCGTTTGATGCTTAAAATTCTTGCAGATAAGAGAGCTGTAGCTCTGTTTAACATTTAACATTCCTTTTCAGCATGTGCAGCCCCAAGTGTAGCCGAATTTTGAAATACTTTTGAGATTTTATTTTCAAAATGAATGATCTGCATTTCCTCTTTTTTCTTCTTTTTTTTTTTAATCCGTCACAATAAGAAGACTCTGTGTGTGTCTCTATAAAAATAGAAAGCTACTAACATTGCCCTCCAGGGAGGTGGAGTGCACAGTATATTACATAATATGAAATGTGATGATAGGCTGGCACACCAAACAGATTAGCAGTCTGTTTGCCCCCCTCTGCTTGTCACGTGAACTCATTTCTGCATAATGCACAAGTGTGTTGGTGCTGAGGTTGATAATTTTGAATGGAAATGTCACAATGATGTAGATTTCCTTGGACTACTGAATTAGGGCACATGAGATTATTGGATAAATAGATTATGATGGCCTGTGTATGCCTGAAAGATATAGAGGACTGTTTTATTGGAAGATTGATGATTTCCTAAAAGTAACATATGAGTGCAAGCTTGGATTCCTACTGTAATCTTCCTGTCCCCTAAACATATTTATTACCCTCAATCAACCAACCATGACTGCCCAGGTGTTCATGCTGTGAACAGCTGCTCTAAATGATATTTCTTAATGATCCTTCTACCTGCTGTCAAATAGTGGGAAAAATCTTTTGTCACTTACACTGTTCATATACAACCTGTACAGGAGATGCATAAGGAAGTATAGGAGTTGAAGAGTTGAATATTTCCCCCTTGAACTATTCTCTGTTTAAGATTTAAGATTTTGGGATCCTGGCCTTAAGAATGATGGCCATGATGAGACTGGGGGGCTTCTAGATTTCCCCCTTTTGTACTGTTTTTAAAAATAAAAACTTCTTTTGGAACTGAGATATAGCTTGCCTTGGATTCAGTGAGGATTTTCCCCCTCTTTGCAATCCTCTATCGATTATTAGCTAATAATATAGAAACAAGAGGCGTCCTTTTATCTCTCTTTCTCAAATAATTAATTGTTTTCCCTCTTCTCTGTCCTGTGGACGCCCAAAGCAGCTTCAAGAGAAATAAAAACAGCTAAAATGATTGATCGTGCAACTTAAAAGGCATGGTTGACAAGGGAAACCTGAAGCCTCTTCCTAGAAGAACAAAGAGCAAGGATTAAGTACAGCTACCAAGGAAATTATTTCCATGTCACTCTCTTTCCAGCTACTACACTTTTCTTCCTTCCTCATTGAATGTCTTTCCATAGACCTTTCTGAGCCAGGCTATTTGATTTTATTTATATCCCATTGGGGATAGATCGTCATGGAGAAAATCTGTCTATGCGGTCGCTAGGAGTCGAAAACAACCTGATGGCACATAATCAATTTATAACCCACTTTTCAGTCTGATGAGAATCTCATATGCATTTTTTTGCTTCAGTTCATAAAGTTAAACTGTTTCAAACATTTTCTGTTGACAGCTTCCACAGAGACAATTATTTGTGAATATTCCATGATTCGACCTCAGTTCAGCAAACACGCACCCAAGGTTTCACTGCTATTCTGCTGTATGACATCAGTGAATATTTTCTTTCCAGATTCTTCCTCCATATAAATTGGAATTGAGACTGGAAATTGGGATTCTCTTCTGCCTAAATCATATTCCAAAATTTGATGCCAGCCAAGCTCAGAATTCCCTAAGATTTAATGCTGGATTTTTTAAAAAAAAAAGTAATTCAGCTAGGGCAGCAAAGACATATGCTTGCTTTCTTAAAGTTAATGTAAACTACAAATGCAGTATGTTGTATAAAAAGATTTTAAGACTGGCTGTAGCAAAGGCAAGGATTTGATAAGACTGGAACTGCAGCCAGCGAACAGAAGCCATACTAACCTTTAAGGAATTTATTGTGCTTTATTCTTCCTGTTGGCCATCCTCCTGCTATCCTCCTCCTCCTGCTTTCAAGATTTGCATAGCCTTAATGCATCCCTACATGATCCCTATACAGATGGGAAATATAATTTGTGTTCAACAGTTTTCTGCCCTGAAATCTGTAGTTTCTGCTTGCCTGCGTCCAAGATGTGAAAAAAGTAGATAATGTTGAAAATCTTTGAGTGAGTGCAGAATGCTGTTAAGTGATCATAAATCACACTGCAAACATCTGAAATAAGTGGGTAGAATATCAAGAACTGATTGAACCCTCAGCCCCATTGTATGTTTTCTGGTAGGCATTAAATTATAATATGTTCCTTATTTCCACCCACTGGTTAACGGCTGTAATCTGAGAGTAGTTTTTACCCTCCAGTTCCCACCTTTCTAATAATTTGGGGGGGGGGAACCCTGCAGTGTTCAGTCTATCTCCTGCTAATCCTGCAAAAGACTGCCCTCAATTCTCCCCACTCTAAAAGGGAATGTAGTAGAATAAAATGGTAAGAGAAGCAGGGAATACTGACATTCTCACTTCAAGGTCTGATTCCACACTGCAGGCAGGATCACTTAGAGAGGCAAGGCTGGGCATTTGTTGGGGCTTCTAGAGTGGGTTTGGAGTCTAGCCATCTCAGGATGCTTATTAGGTTTATTTATTTATTTATTTATTTTGCATATAAAATCCCAGAACACGAGATATGGTAACCAGAGTAAAAGAAATCTCAGTTTGCATGTCCTTGTCCTGCCTCTTCACAATTTGGGCTGGGCTACCAAGAATCCTTTTCTGAATCTGTTTTCTCATCCTTAGATTCTCTTATGCAGCTCAGTCTATACTTTCTGTAGGGAAAGGATGCGTCTCATTAGGACTGACTCCATCCCTAATGTACTATTGATTCTCCAGTTATTGATGAAACTGCTGCTTGTGGGCATGTCAGTTCTCTGACTAATATTTTCCTCCTGTCAGCACATCTGGTTGAGATTTCTCTTGTGAGCGGTCAGTGAGGGTTGGATTAATAATTGAGCATATTAGAGGAGACCAGCCAGATCAGTTCCTTTTTTTACCAAGAAATCATGCAAGCAATATTGGCTAAAACTTCAGAGTTTGCAAGAACACCTCTATTTTTTCACACATAGCTGGTTTATCTGTACCTCATCTCAGGATGCATCATCTCATGAGCTGAGTTCCGCCTCTAGGTCTTAGAAAATGAGACCATTGCTGAAAAGATACTAATACTCAGTGTGGTTTGGTATTGTGTTGGACAAGCTTTGGGGAGATTTGGGTTCAAATCCCATTTAGCTGTTAGTTCACCGGATGACTTGAACCAGCTGCTCTCTGTCAACCCTGACCATCTCCCAGAATTGTTGGAGGAAGAAAAACAACAGGAGCCTTGTAAGTCTGTTCCTTGGAAGAAAAGATAAATATGATGATTTTCCTGCAATATTCTTCCTAATGTCTGGGAACGTGATGGTATGTGGGAATGACCTTGGGAGGCAGAAGGGCGAGCTGCAGACTGGACAACCGGCATGTAAAAGTAGTCTCAGCTCACAGAAGGAGAGATGGTGTGGGAAATGTTTCAGAAGGAACCCTTCCTAGTTTTCCGGAGAGTAAAAGGAAAGGAGGGGAGAAATGCTTTTAGTCTTGCAAGATTCTGTTAATGTAACCTAACAATAAAGATAGTACTCCTGGTTGTGCTTCTTGTCTGGACAGCCTCACCGGGCTAACATCAATCTTGCAAGATAAAGAAGCCATTTGATTGCTCTGGGGACAATGGAACCAGTTTAGCAATCCTTTTGGAAAATATATTTTCAATTCTTTGGCAATGGCCCATACGGGAAGCTAGGCACAACATGAGTAACTTTTGAATCCAGCTGGGCGGGTTTGCCTCTATGTAGTGCAATAAATAGACACAGAAGAAAGAAAGACTTGGTTCTTATAGTACCTTTAAAAACTACAGCTGTAATGGAATACAATAAAGTTGGGATAAAATGAATAATATTGCACTGTTTATGGCTGGAATTTATAAAGTGATAAAGTTTAATACCCTTTTCGGAATAATGATAATAACACTTTTGATTGATTGATTATGTGCCATCAAGTAGTTTTTGACTCCATGACAATTTATCCCTAACCTGTCCTTTCAAATCTCCCAAGGGGACACTCATCACCACAGTAACTGAGTCCATCCACCTTGTTGCAGGTCGTCGTCTTCTACCTGTCCCAGCATTAGAGCCTTTTCCAGGGAGCTGGGCCTTCGCATAATGTGTCTGAAGTTGGGTAATTTGAGCTGTC